GATGGTTGCTAGGAATCCCTCGCTCAGAATGAGGTTGGTGAGGCTGAGAGCTGGCGACCCTCACGCCCTACTCCAACATAATGCTCCTAACGCTCTATTGGAGATAGAGTTGTAGCATATCGGAGAGATGAGCGAACTCATCCTAACATCTCAACACACAACACCTCTCATTTCTATGTATGTTGGTCACACGTCGTGGCATTAGTCACTTTATGACAATGGGTTAAATGATAATCCGTAAAATAACATTTATTAGTAAGGATATAATAGTCCGTTTAATATCTTTTTGAATTGCTACCAGTAAAAAACTATTCCGTTCATCTCAAATTGTGGTTTTAACTTTTACCTTAGTATTATTTGGTCAAAATCGCTACCAGTAAAAAACTATTCTGTTCATCTCAAATTGAGTTGCAAATTTAACTGATTCGGACAAACTGTCTCATTTAATTCACTTAATTAGGATATCAATTCTTAATTAAATTTTAATTCGGATTTTGCAAATTTATAGACATTGTAATGTAGTTTATGAATATGTAAATTTTAATTACCAAAAATGAATTATTTATCAATAGAGAATAATTAACTTTAATATTATTGATAAAAAATGTTAACTTTATGAAATAAATTGGGATATTGGGATAGGGGTAGTACCCGTCTACTCCGCATTGGTTTACTTAAGTTAAGTAACGAGCATTATTTGTGCACTCCAAGTTAAAAAAGAAAACGCCACTTTAATTAAATTTGTGCCCCCCATGTGTATTACGGAGCATTAGGGTAGACTAAAAGTAGCACGTACTTCCATTAAGAAAGAGTCCGGTACTAAGATCTGTTTTAGTTTGATCTGGTCTGATCTGGTTTGATCTGAAATTTTATTTTTTATATTTTTTATAAGCAATTATTTTCTCTACTTTTACACTTCATAATTTTATCAGCATGTACAAAATGGGAATGTCAATTTATGAACATGAAGGGAATGGAGAAGGCATGGTTGATTTAGATATGTTCAACAATGGGCGAAAAGAAGCTGATGGAGTGTATGGGTCTAGACTCGAGGATCCACTCATCCACATACTCAGAAGAATAAGAGGCACATCTGTCACTCTGTGGGGCCTCCGTCGACCAGATGGCTCTCCATCGGCCAGAAAGATATCGACTCAAAACATGATCCAGAACTCAGGAGAACCAGGTGTCTCCGTCGGTCGGGTCTCTGTCGGCCGTGGCTCCGTCGGCCAAACCTCCATCGACCACAGAGAGCTCACAGAACCGAATTTCATACTTAGTCATTTCTACATACTTTGTACTCGGTCCAGTAGTTTCCAAATTGTAAATGGGCCTCCCAAGCCTAAGACTTGAGAGCACAACCAACATTTTCTCCATAAATACCTCTCTTAGGAGTAATTGTAGGGGATTCACAAATCATTTATTGTAACCATTTACTGCACTTCTCTCTCTATCTCTCACTTATCTCTAGATAATTACTCTATCAGAAGCTTTGAAAAATGTTTGCGTGGAAATTGCGAAACAAATTTGGGAAGACATCCAGAAACCCAGATCAACCCATGCATCAATGATTAATAAAAACACAATTAAGGAGGACAAATGTGCTTTACTAGAAGTTGTAAGAAGGCTACGTACATAGCAGCAACAAATGACACGTAGCTATACGGTGCTGCTAAGTTCTGAGAAAGTGGCACGTGGCGGCGTGGCCGGCAGTCTATATTTATAGATAGTTAAGTTAATCATAGGTACATCGGTCGAATTGAAGATGGGGGAGGCGCAAAAAACGAGTGGCTCGGAGGGGTCCAAGGGACCGCACCCGGCCGGAGGAGTGCTGCACCAACGGCGAGGTCTGCCGTATAGCCTAGCAACCGTCGCCGTTGCCGGCGTGGCGATAGTGGGCACCCTGTGGTATTTCACGCTGTACACCAAGAAGAAGCCCGAAGCCAGTGCTCGAGATGTTGCAAAGGTATCTGTCGGGGCTGCCGGCCCAGAGGATACTCATCCCCGCAAGTAGCCCGGCCCACCGGCCACCGGCCCATTTCCATCATCTATCAGTTTCTTTATTAGAAATTGTCCTAAATAGGAGTAAAAACTCTTTGAAATTCCAAAATAGGAGTATCATGTTTACTCCTATTCAAAGAATAAAAAACATGATACTCCTATTTTGGAATTTAAAAGTATTTTTACTCCTATTTAGAGAATTCTTTTCTTTATTTAAAGTTTGTTACTACATTTGTTAGAATAATACTCCTCTGTCCCAATTTGATTTGCAAAATTTCCTATTTTGGTTGTCCCAAAATTATTTTCCATTTTCTATTTTAGGTATGTAAATAAGAATAAAATGACAAATTTACCTTTACTTTTACTTTTTCCCCATTAACTTAAGGGAAAAGGGTCAAATAAGTCCTTCTACTATTACGAAATAATCACATGAGGTTATGTACTCAATAAAGTGTCATATAAGTACACCTACTTGTATAAAACAATCAAATGTGTCCTAACGGCTTATTTAACACCTCCTAATCCCGATTTTAGCTTACATGTCAATTTTTTTGACTTGTATTTCAACCAATCTTAGTTAAATATTCAACATATGTCGTATAATATTTTCTAAAAAAATGGTCAAAAGTACGTTGAAACCGGGATTAAGAGGTGTAAAATAGGTCACGAGGACTTATTTGATTGCTTTTTAGAAGTAGATGTACTTATATGACACTTTATTGAGTACATGACCTTATGTGACTATTTCAGTAGAAGTCTTTATTGAGTACCTTATTTAATAAGATTTCACGAGAAATGTTGTTTGTACACTCGATTGCAGACGTCATTTTACGCAACGGTTAAATTGGATGTGCATAAACATTTTTTTTCATTTTGTGAAAAGAATTTTATGATATACATGCCAATGAATTGGTCTGCAATTAATTAAAGCAAACAATTTGATTGTGGAAATTTTCCTTTATAACACGTTTCTTTTGCTGATGAGAAATTAAGTGAGGATCTTCAATGTAAAATTAATTTGAAGGAATATGAAGGGCTATTTTCGAATCACTACCACAAGTAAGTTTATAATTGAAATTATAGTTGAGAAAAGCAATGAAATTACCGATAAAAAAAAGTCATCATACAAATTTGTAAAAATGTATAAATAGTAGTGTGTTTGCCATGAATTATTGTCATTTATAAGATTTACTATTAGCCCAATTACTCCGACATATAGGTCCTCCTTTGGACAAGAAAATTGACAAATCGTCTACGGAGTATTATAAAACTCATCATTGTTTCTCCATGGGCTGCAAACCTATAAAAAGGCAAAAGGCTGCAATCGAATTCCCAATTGCTTCATATAGAATGCTGCCTTATTTTTACCGTGGGAGCCAATAATAGAACATCATAATTGCATGTTAAAATACTCCCGAGTTAAAACAATGACCCGTACCAAGAGAGTGTCACAAGGGATAGGTCTCGGATTCGAATCTCACCAACTGCGATGAAGTCATGAGGGGTTACTATGCTAAAAATGCATAAAACTTTTGCAAATACATGAGACAGAGCCTCACTCTCTATCTGTCAGATTTGGATTATAATCCAATTTATATTCTTCCAACTTATCGTCCGATCGGGTTTGAGGACCCTCGAAGATGGGGTGTCTTCCTTTTTTAAAAAAAAATTACTCCCGAGTAAATTAGGGCCTCACTAATAAACAAATCACATCTACTTTTAGAATAATGCGAATTGATAGTTCAAAATTGTCTCCCATCAAAATGTTACACGGTGCATTTCTTTTTGAAAATTCCACATAGAGATTCCTCAAAACAAAATCCACATAGAGAGCATCTTTGATCATCATTTTTTTGAGTTTATAGACTCATACGAGGCTGAATTTGGTGTATACGACTCTTATTTTTCGTATATATTTCATATATCTTGTTAATAAAATATATCAAAAATAAACTTTTTTATAACTCAACATACTCCGTAATTAGTGATAGACTATACTTCTAGAGAGAAGTGAGTTGTATTAAATGATTTTCGAACCCTTACAACTACTCGCAAGGGGAACATTTATAGGGAAAATATGGACCGGGCTCCCAAGTCTAGGGCTTAGGAGGCCCATTACAATACAAAGTCTCTATTGGACTGGATTACATTCGAATACAAGGCCTCTATAGATCAATCATGCTTCATGTACAAAACATAATGCTCTCCACAAAAAATTATCTATGTATAAACATCATTTTCCTAATAGTTGTGCTAGGTGTACTGTGTACACCTTTCGTACACTTGTCTGTGTCACGCACATAGAGACGTCTTTCCACAGATGACTCTACAGAGATGTCCGTTAGGTGTACATCTTTCGTACACTCGTCTGTGTCACGCACATAGAGATGTCTGTTCACAGATGACTCTACAGAGATGTCCGTCCACAAACGACTCTACAGAGATGTCCGTCCACAAATGACTCTACAGAGTTGTCCATCCACAGACGACTCTGTGTGCGTGAGACAGACGAGTGTGCGAAAAGTGTACATCAAAATGTGTATACCAAGCATTTTTCTTTTCCTAAATAGATTTAGCACATTAAGAGGCCGTTTGGAAACATTTTTTTTCGGCTTATCGAACTTATCAACCAACTTTTCCACCAAACACGTAACTTTTTTTTTCGCGCGCTGAATTGTATAATAAGTAGAAAAGGTGAGGTTGAAGTTACTGTAGATGATCATTTTAGCTATTTTCACAAATATATTTTTCTTTATTTTATTACTAACTTACTCCTTCCGTCCCACAATGAACTTCACAGTTTGACCTACACACATATTAAGAAAATAAGCTTACCATGGATAAATTTTACTGTTTTGACATTATTTCGACACCACTATTTGGCACTGTTTTGCATTGTTTCGACAGTGTTTGACACTGTTTTGATGTAGATTAACTTGACATTTAAGGAAATGAGAACTTATTTCCGGGACATCCAAAAAAGGAAAGTAGGAAGTTCATTGCGAGACGGAAGGAGTATATTTTAATTTTTTTCTCTTAAATCATCATAATCAACCAATACAGTCACTTTAGCCTAAACTTCATAAATTTCAACAGAAACAACCAAATCAGCCGATTTTCGTGCTACCAAACGGGTTGTAAAGCATCAAGCCTATTCCGTCGTAACTAAAGAGATTCGAAGTATTAAATGCTTATGAAGTTATGGACAGGGAAGTAAAACAAACTGAATACGGAGTACAATTTTGCAAACATCACTATAATCAAGTGAAATAACAAATGAAGCCCTTGCTTGTATCATGAGTCCATAGTTTAACAAAATATCAAGCCAACAACTTCCATCCGAACCTTAGCTGCAACAAGTTGAATTAACTTCACCACAGCCAAACACAAACAAAGTGACTTCTTTATGAAAGATAGACTTATATATATATATATATATATATATATATATATATATATATATATATATATATATATATATATATATATATATATATATATATATATATATTAAATTAAATTGGTGTGTAGAAGAATCACATGACAACACAAGCATTAGTATTCTCATCACTAAACGCCGTCGTGTAGCGAACTTCGGTGGAGGAGGCTCGGGCAAGCTGGTATGCTTGCGGGTTATTATCTTCGACCCTGCGTACGTACCCGGCGGGGGCTTTCTTGTCATACACCCCTTGTGCGTACGGGTGTGCTACCACGTCATAAGGAACGTACGGCCAAATCTCCGCCTTTTTTCCGGTGCGATGGGCCACACGGGCCACTACCTTCTCGGGCTCTACATACCCCGTAACCGTGAGCTTGTGCTGCTTCGGATCAACCTGCACTGAGCTCACCCCTTTCATCCCCTCAACTGACTTCTTCACTTTCCTTACGCACCCCTCGCAGTCCATCTTCACTTTTACCTCCACAGTCTGTCCATTATCACCACACATATACAACATTGAGTCAAATTGAGGCACCCATATGTGATACAACTGTTTTATCAACAACGTAGTTATACAAGCTCAATGTCTGATCAAAAAATCTCTATTTAGATGAACTTAAAGCATGACTAATGTGGGGTTCTTTAAAAAATTAAAACTGAGCCCGGTAACACTTATTTTCATTTTATCGAGGTTGTTAGCCAACTTTTTTATCAAACAAGCAAGTTTTGATTTTGTGTATTGTATAATAGTAAAAAAATAAGTAAGGTTGGATTACTTTTCTGGCAAAATTAGCTGAAATTATTTTAAAATGAGAATTTTTAGCTTTATTTCGATCTAGTTTTTTATTTATTTTATTAAAATAACATTTTTTCTTCAAAATTCAGTATATTAACGGATCCAACCATTTCCCCTCAAATTTCACCAATTTTAACGGATTCAATCAATTTCAATATTACAAAATGAGCACTTAATCAAGGCTTATGCGGCTTCAACCGATACAATACTCAGTAAAGTTTTTGTTCATGCCAAAGGGTTCAAACAAAACACATTTATGTGGTCTCAATGAAGAAAAATGATGAAAACTACAAATTGATTGATTAAACTAGAAAGTGGCAAAGTTTTTTAAACAAATTAAAAAAGAAATATGACAAAGTATTAATGGATTATAAGGTGAAAATATAGTCCTCATAATTTTTTAGTTTAGTTTGTTTATTAAAATAAGAAACAACAAAACAAATGAAATCAAGCATCATTTCGCCTTATAATTAAGATTATATACTTTTTCATTAATCTAAAATCAGAATCAAATAGGGGGTGACCACAGGATAAATAAAAACAATAGATTATGAACAGAAAAATCCGTGTGAATGTACTTGATCTGTCAACAAAGTACATAAGGTGAAAATACACATTAGTCCCCCCGGGCATTAAAAAACGTGGACGTTATAGAAAAACATTTCCATGTCACACACGTTCAGGGAAGATTAAAAAATACTTACTCGGTCCTCCAATTAAATTCTCGGTTTGACTTCACACATATTAAGAATGTGAAGTGCATTGTTTTGCACTGTTCAAACACTGTTTGGACACTGTTTTGCACTGTTTGACACTGTTTTGATGTAGATAATTTTCCAAATAAGGTAAGGAAAGTAAGGAAGCGTGAACTTAATTTAGGGACTGCCCAAAAAGAAAAGTGTTAACTTAATAGAAGGAGGAAGTAATATGTAATACGTATGATTAGGACACCTAATTAAAATTTATACAACAACAAAATTAAATTTATACCACTAGGAATATCTTCATGTTCACTTTAAAGCATATCCCTGGACTTGCTCTAAAGGTATTGGTGGCGACAGAGATATTTTTAAATAAAAAAAATATAAAACACATGGTAGGCCCGACCTTAGCGGACTATTGGGAATTGTGGGGTCCCCTAGGCCCGCAATCGATGGGGGTAGCACAGTGCCTTTTCTGGCCCACATGCGGAGCAGAGGTTGGGACGTTCCATCATAACACAAAACAGACATGCGGAAGAAAATCCTATGATGATTACCAATTGATATGCCCATATGGGTCTAGCTCCACCCAAACAGATTCACCCCTGCTGCCTGGTTTAATTTATTCATCATCATAAAATGTTTAATCTTGTTATATTTTGGTAGAATATGAACTAATGAAGTATTCTTGATAATTTCAGTTTTCCAGTTAGAACGAACGATGCTATTTGATAGGTCTGGGATTTGTATAGTGAACTACAAGAACTGACTTTACAAAAAAAGTTGAAAGAAAGAAGCTTTTAATGAATAAAAAGGAGAGAAATAAAGAAAAAGATGGGATCTTTAGGGGGGGAAGAGCTAGAGAAGAAGAGAAAGATGAAAGGACCTGCAACTGCTTTCGTTTCTTGTGCTTAGAGTCGCCAACAGAGCAGTCGAAGACATCGGAGAGATGATCAATAACTCCCATTTTCTGCCGCGGCGTTTCGTTTTCCGGTTCCTGAGATGAAGCTGTGAGGTAAGGAGAGGGTTCAAATTGACGAATGAAGACAAAGGTGATGATGATAAGACAGCAAAGGGGAGAGAGGGGTTATTGTATTGTATTTCCTGGCTAGTGACAGTTAGTTTGAAAGGCGACCCTCGGTTTCGTCTACTTCGTTCCCGGCGTGTTTGAGTTGTCTTTGCCCCTCAACAGGGCTTGGTTTGGCCCATCACAAGAGGACTGTTGGACTGCATGGCATACGAAGTAGTTGGTATGGGCCATCCTCAGAGAGTTGTTGGACTTTGAGCTCTTATGGATGTCCAAATTGGTTTAATCAGCTTAATATGGTGGAGTGGCTCGACTATTTGAATCTGCTAAATTGTGAAAAATATGTTACGTGTGAAAAATATATATTACGTGTTTAGAAAACTCTTCAAGTTTTATAAGACTTTGTTTTTTTGTTCACCCTACAAACTTTATTACTTTCATTTTCTAGTAACGAACTAGTATAGTACCCGTGTGATACACGAGATAGAGAAATCATTACATTATTTGAATGTGTTTCTCAAAATAGTTAATTTTTATAATTAATGTAGCTCTAATATATAATTTGTAAACACAAATTAATAAATAATACTCTCGTAACATAAAGCACAAAATACCATTGAATACGGCGTAACACAATGATTTGACACCTAAATTGAGAATAACAGAATCATACTCCTATTTGACAATATGTATGCCTATTTAGGAAATTCTATCAACAAAATTTTGTTTGTTGCTAAACCATTTGCTTATTCCACCAGTAGGAAACTCAGTACCCAAAAGAGAAATTTAGATGTTATTTAACGAATAGTGTAATTAGGGAAACAAATAAGACTCCTCCAAAATAAAAACCCACTTAATCATAAAATATAGGAGCATATCATACAATCGCCTAACGATTATAAACGTGAGCAAAACAACAATACATTATCTAGAATCAAAGTGTAATTGATTTTAATTTATATTCCTCATAGAAAATGAGCAAACCAACTATTTTGTGCTTTATCCTTGGAACCTCTTTAAGAGCATCCATGAAGCACGTACCTATAAATTGAAAAGGAGATCAACATTGCCGTAAAATATCACATAAAAATAGTTGGTAGAGTATATGAGCCCAGCCCCCATGGCCCACATACTCAGAAGACTAAACACAAGCACAACTAACACCCACATGGTCCTCCATCGGTCAGATGGTCCTCCGTCGGCCAAACATATATCAACTCAGAATATGGTCCAGAATCCCAGAAGCACAACGTGGTCCTCCGTTGGCCAGGCCCTCCGTTGGCCAAAGAGACCAAAGCGGAGTTAGATCTTATACTTGACCAAATAAAGCATGTATCCAGCCCAATAGAGGCCTTATTTTGTACTCGGCCTCCCAAGCCCAATACTTGGGAGCCCAAACCCATATTTTGCCTATAAATACTCCCCTTGGGGATAGTTGTAAGGGATTGAGAAATATTAATTGCTCATTCTCTCTCTAGCTCTCACTTCTCTTTAAGAGTCAATACTCTACCATTTGGTGCTCTCGTTGAGAGCTAGAACAATCAAGTTAGTACCCTTCATCGTTACCAAACACTTCTAACTGAAATGGGAAGGACAAGGTCAAATCGCAACCTCATCGACAAAACGCTCCCCGAAACTCAGGAGAATCAAGAGAGGTCGGGTGACGCTACAGTCGACAAGGTAGTAGAGGAAGGGGCCATCCAAGAGGCCATCGACCCCACTGCGGACCTTCGCAACAAGCTCAACACCGACGCTGAAGACACCCACATCGGTCTTGAGAAAAAACACATGAAAAGGCAACCATGCTTCAGGACAACAGACTACTCCCCCTATTGACCCTCAAGTTCAGATCACACTATCGGCCATCGTCGTCAGTCTGGCTCAGAACCCCACGGTCCTCAGCGCTCTCACGCCAAGGCCAGGGAGAACACTACACTGCCGCTGCCACCACCCCCTCCATTTGTCACCTTCATCGGCAATGACGAAGGAGTCGTGTGTAACATCCCGGCCCCGCAGGGCCCGAGGTAGTTACTTCCGACCTTTAGTACTATCCTCACAAACCACCATGAGCCTTTACCGCGCACTTTGTCCTCACTCGTGCGCGCCCTGAGAAACTTCCCAGGGGGTCACCCATCCAAAGACTACTCCAATGCAAGCACGCTTAACTTTGGAGTTCTTGGATGATGAGCTCCCTTAAAAGGAGATGCACCTCTGTTGGTATGAGTAGTATTATTAATCCTCTTAAATTAATCTTGGGTATTAATATTTTATAAATGTTGTTTTACTAATGTGGGATTAGCCTGTGCACAACACGGAACTTACCTCAGCCGTTAGGCTAGGTCATCTTCTTCGTAAGAACACCGGAAACGGCTATACGCAGGGGCACAACACGGAACTTACCTCCGCGACGATGACGGGTGGAAATGTGGCGGTTGTCTCTCGGCGATGGTCTCCTTCGAAGGCAGCAGCCCAGTCCAGCGACGCAGCAGCTACAGCTCCTCCCTTTATCTCCGGCGTGAAGGACAGTGATCTGGCTCACCTCCGGATCCTATTGTACTCTAGTGATGATGGAGGAACTCGAGGGCAGTTGAGGCGAGTGAGGGCGGTGGACTTGACTCCTCTTTTCCGGAGCGAACATGTACAACACATCATCGTTCCTCCGGCTATGATGTCTGAAGTTCTCCATGGCGGAGGTCTTCACTTTCTCCAGCGCGGCTTGTGACGGGTCAAGGCAGTTCACCAATGGCGTGGAGATTTGACGCAAAATGATCATTCGTTCTTCACTTCTTACTCTTCTAGCGACGTGCTGAATGAGCATATATGTGGGCAATGACTGAACTGAATTCCCTTCCGCGTAGTTTTAGACGATGTGTGTATATATATACCTTTCTGGTGTAGGGTTTACCGGGTATTTGTACCCAATGAAGGTTCCAGACGTCAGTTATTTTTGTTAATTGCCAATCTAAATTGCTACGTATTTATTTTTTTGGTAATGATCGGTCGTACGATGATTTTGGAGTGGTATATCAAATATGGTACATAGGTTTTACACACAATTAATCGCAATAACCTTGCTTATTTACCCTCAGTCCGTTCATGTAGGTCCGTTTACGGAGTATTTGTATCATGGAGTATGTATGTATGTATGTATGTATGTATGTATGTATGTATGTATGCATGTATGTATGCATGCATGTATGTATGAATGCATGTATGTATGTATGTATGTATGTATGTATGTATGTATGTATGTATGTATGTATGTATGTATGTATGTATGTATGTATGTATGTATGTATGTATGTATGTATGTATGTATGTATGTATGTATGTATGTATGTATGTATGTATGTATGTCTGATGTGTCTGATGTGTGTGTGTGTGTGTGTATGTATGTATGTATGTATGTATGTACGTACGTATGTACGTACGTACGTATGTATGTATGTATGTACGTATGTATGTATGTACGTATGTATGTATGTATGTATGTATGTATGTATGTATGTATGTATGTATGTATGTATGTACATACACACACAAGTATATCTGCAGTCTAGCCCCACCCGCCGAGCGCGGTTCCCAAATCAGCCCTTAGATTATCGAGACAAGTCCAAAAATGCAGATGAGACCGTGCTCACCGGCACCGCCCACCAGGGTCAACATTAGATTCTGACACTATGACCGAGTTTGAAGTCAATCAGTGCCCCACAAAGTCAAAGAACATAAAGGAGCATTAATTGCTTCATATAAGCAAACTGAGGCCACCCTCCTCTTAAATTAATACACTACCCCTTAGCCTAACTCCGCATAGCCCGTGGCCTCGGGGAAGATTATGGACCTAGCTATTTTCAGTACTCAAGTTCCACACATAACTCTGAGTACGTCATCAACATGACAATTGTATAGGGCTTACGTCACTCATGGGATTACTCACAGAAGGTTCTAGGCTTACATGCATGGGCGTAACTAGGGGGCCAACCCTGGCCATGGCCCACCACAAATTTTAAAAATGTTTTGATGTTTAGTGTAAAAAATTCTGTGTAAATTTTTCCTGAAAAAAATTCTTTGTACCAGCTGATATGCACTAATTAGTAGTGCATAAATGTATGTTTTTATGTTTGATTTGTGTGGATTGTCTACCTTTATTATTTAGTTTGTAAACACTTATGTGATTTCGATTGTAATTGTATTTTAGTTTTTATTTGTAAGTTGTGTGAAGTACACAGTTCGATTGTGTACAAAGGAGCAACTTTGTGCTCAAAGGAACTGTCTAGGACTGATACTCGGCCAAGTATATATCTTTACCCGATCGGGTAAGACATGAAATTGGAACCTGTTGGGAAATTATACCTTTACTCGATCGGGTATGGTGCTTTACACGGTCGGGTATGATGTGACCCGGACAAACGGATGTGGTGAAAACACAAGAACCTGGTGAATCGATCTGATTTTGATTGATACCCGGTCTGGTATCCGGCCCAAGGTGTTGAATAGTATTTCTCCTTCACTTTTAATCATCCTTTCTCCATATACTTGATCTCAACTTAGAATAGTATTTTCTTTATATTTTCTAGCATTATTTAGTCTCCAATTGAGGAGCTAAACTTCCATTTCTTTGTTTTGCTCTTGAAACTTGTTGAATGTTAATGTTGTGAGTTATTTTCTTACTTCTTCCCTTGAATATTAATTCTTCCCTTATTCTATCTCTATATTAATGTTGAGGAATGTTGCTAAATGAGAATTAGTTAACATCTTGACATTAATCACTACTAGAAACGATCAATGAACTGATGGTTAATCATTGATGGTTTCGCAAGTAAGTAACTTCGGGTTATTAATGCACGGTCGTGGTTAATAATCATAAGAGGGATTAATTGTGTTGGTTAAACCGAAACTGTTGTGTTGAGGTTATCAATCTCAATTGATTTCATCAAGGAGTTAAGATATTAAATGCTACTATCAAGTCGGTATATGGTGGTGTTCTATACTTGGCTAATAGTAAGGGTTATTAATGAACGGTCGTTATTAATAACTACCCTCGATGAATTGGAGATACTCCTCGATTGAGTATTCGAGAGAGGATAAGTTATAGATATAACCGGGATCAACAAACACATCAACAAGTGGAAAGTAGCAAAGCCA